CCAATTCCTCCCAACACGTCTTGGAAACCCCACACACCACTTTATGCCCTGGATACAAAGCTCGCCTGTCAGTGCCTTCACTCCATGACGCTTCTCGAGATATTTGGATGTGAGAACTCTTTAAGTGGCACACAAGTAATTATTAGACAACTGGAGAGAGTGAATAAATGACATGGGTGGGGCTCAGTCTACATATATCCATCGCCTGCATGAGTAATTGACATGATTTCCTTGTAAGACCACGAGGTATCATTTCCGCTGGAGGGAGAGAGGTCTTTCTCGTTATTTTCTTCCACCCAGTGTTGCATTGACAACAATGTGGAGATGTGTAACCTTTTGCTGGAGAACAATGCCAACGTTAATGCCAAAGATAATGAGTTGTGGACTCCACTTCACGCCGCTGCTACTTGTGGGAACAAGGAACTCTGTGGTATACTCATCAACTGGTAAGTTTTTACTACCTTTACATTAATGCTAAGAGAAGCCTTCGTTTTAACCAACATTTTGTAGAAATGTGAATTTATTTCCCTTTTCACGTGATTCCCTGTGTTTAATTGATGCCTAAAGGATCTGGCAGCATGAATGAAGCATTCTAAAACAGGTTGGGTCGAGAACCCCCCTCATGACCCACGGTAAGTACGTTGACGTTTGGGGATTGCTGATGTTCATTATCCCTTGCAATTTCATCGCACAAGGGGCAGTTGAGGCAGCATAATTCCAGAGCCCAGCTGGATACTCTTTCACAAGAATGCCTTCTGTGTCGTGAGAATGCACTCACTATGGTGGAGATTGTCACTGACGTACAGACGTTCAGGTGATTGTGCCACCGCAATTTCTATGCTCTAGTTCTCCTTTCATCACCACATCGTGTCGTATGCACGAAACGTCGCTTTCAAATGCCATCTCGAGTGATATTGTTTAGGTTAGGCCTGGTCTCTGACATGTGAGGTGACTGATGCAACTCGTGCCAGGCCAGTCTTTCCATTCACTACTATGGTAGCATTCTTTGGCACCAGGACCATTGAAATTTGTGATCACAACATGGTAAAAGTACTTCTATCGCATGGGGAAATCGTTGATAATTCTCGAATTAAGTATTCAAATTTTATTTTCGAGTGCCATTTATCTAACCTTAAGAAGATTACAAGTTTTTGAGCGAACAACTTGAACAAGAATTCAGTCAAGCACTTGTTTGTAACTCCTTTTTCATTAGCTCGCCACCTGGACCAAAAGTTGCGTGATTGTTTTTTTTTTCAAGTGGGTAGCATACGGGGATGCTTCTCAGCTTGATCATGCTACCGCACGGACAGGAGTATGAGAGGTTTCGGACTCTCCGCGCTTAATTGCTCCTTGATATGTGTTCCCGATTAAAAACTAATCATTTCTACGAAATTGGTGTAGGAGTAAACAGAAGATAGCCGAAAATGTGATTATAAATTGCGAAAATCACGACTAGCCCTGGTTTTCTGACCTAAAACCTTCATGAATACTTTGTTTAAACGGTTCGTCAGCTTCGTCTCATTGTTTAGCTCAAGGGGTCTATTTTTTCGAAATGGTCCCCATTCTTTAGTGAATCACTTTGTATAACACTGGTTCTTTGTGCTTCTTCTATTATTTTCCCGAAATTTTATGCGATAAATCAACCAAAATATTTCTTCAATCTGAATGGTGTTTATCCACTTGCCTATTATTCCATCGCATCTGGGGTCAAAATGAAGCCTATTACCGCGAGGAGTTATTTTTGCTGTCGTAAAAAGTGACCGAGAAAAAGAAAATAGGGTCTTTCGGCCATTCCGAAAGACCGTCTCGTTGTACAACCTGGCCATGCAAGTATCGAAACTTCCAAGTTTCGTAATAAAAACGTGGAAATGTGATCGAATAAGTGACCGTATCCTGCTCTTTTGATAATACTTTTGAAACAGTTGCCAGTTGTTTTTCCTTTGTAAGGAGGTGGATGAGCATTTTGACATTTTCATGGTTATGTGCTAAACCTCCTCACTTACACAATTCAGGCATCCAAAGTGAATTTTCAACTCCGTTTTGACTCATTTGACAGTGACTATGAAGTATATTTGCTCTACCTTATTGGAATAAAGAATTCGTACAGTTTTAAAATTTTTTCGACAAAGGAATTTAATGCTTTGCATGTTTATTTACCTATAGAATAAAATCAGCTATTAATACCCATTTTCAAAACCCACTCCGTCTTTAAAAAGAACAAACAAATAAAGAAAGTCTCACTTTATTTGGTACTGCCTTTAAGGGGAGCAGACCTTCTGGCACTAAATGTGGACGGAAACATGCCCTACGATCTCTGTGATGATGAGAACACACTAATACTGGTTGAAACCGAAATGGCAAAAAGACGTAGGTCAATTTTTATCTAGCTTTTCATCCTGTGGTGTAAGATTTTTTCTGTAGACCTCCGCATCCCTCCTTCTCAAATTGTACACCTCTCTTTACCATAAAAAGGACGCAACAAACTTTCATTGCCTTTCGAGGCTGCCCCTCTACCCCAAAGGCCCGTGTATTTTAGTTATAAAAATGAGTATCGAGGTAGCAAATTTTCGAAAATGGAGAAAAGAATGAATCTCTCAATCTTGAATTATGGATAATTGATGAATTAAATTGACATGGGATTAGGTTCTACCTTAATTTCGCACTTAAAGGTGAGGTTAATGATCCGTTGGTTAGAGGATAGCACGGAGGCTACAATAAACAGTGCACAACAGCGATTACAACTACTAATTGAGTTACCTTATCTGTCAAGACCAACTTTACAGTATTACTCACCTATCTTTCATTCTTTTTTAAGCATCACAGATCTCACGACAAAAAAAAATACCAAATAAGTCTGTAGGTCCGAAGAATGTGCGACTTATTCCAGACTAGGCCATCATCTCATCCTTAAAGATAGTCTTTGGTGTCGTAATACCTAATATGCGTAGTTTAGTGGTATAGAAGTGACTCTAGAGTCAATATCTGTAGAGAAGAGCTTGTGCAACCCTCAGCCATGCCCTCTCTTGTGTGAAGACACGGAGCGACTGAAACCCTCTTCCCCCACGTTTTTTTCAAGGTCATTAAATCGACACCTTTGAAAACAGAAGTTTCAAAATATTTTTACGCAAAAAAGGCACTGTTTAGTATCTGCAATAAATCTCATCTTTGTTTTTTTCCTCATAATGTTTATTTTTGTGTGCTGTAGCATTGCCCCAATCTTATTGGTTGGAATGTGCTATTTATTTGTGATTGATTGCCACTTTATCCCACGTCACTTAGTTGTCATTTTTTAGTCATTAGGGGTTGCACATTGATCACTCGTCATTAGCATGCGCTGGTTTTCATATGCCAAGTTAGAGACGCTCTACAAGTTTTACCTTAAGTTCTGTCGATTGGCTTCATCCACAACGTCCTCTTTACCAATCACAAGTTGTAACAACAATCTCTTCAATACAAACCTTTTTGGTGAATCACACAGACTGAAGCATCGAAAACAGTTGATTTATACTTGGAAAGCTACAAAGATTAAAAGTGGTGTTCTGATTCCCACTTAAGGCGTTGCATGGTATATAAGTGTAGAATAAGGTTTGATCCCTTGTCAAGAAGCATCATGACAAGTTCCAATAAAATTACTGAGCCATTCTTAACTTGGAAATTTGTATGTCATCTCTTTTAACTATTCATTATTCTTTACTCAGATGTAACCCAGAAACAGATCGACGAAATTCGTCTCCTCCCGGAAAAAGAGATGCTCAACGACCTCAAGCGACACTACGCTGCAGGCGATGACTTACAAGACCTCGATTCACAAGGGGCAGCTCCTGTATGAGACCGATTTGATTAATTCATCCGCATTTTTTTATTAACTCTAACAAGTGTCAAGTAGAGGGTCGTTCAGGTCAAACCGGAACTCCGAGATCGTTATATGAAACTGCATTCTTCCTACGCCATTAGTCTCGACTACAGTTATAACTTTTCCAATGTGCAAATAAAAAAGTAAAAAAACCTTTGGCATAGAGAGATTTGCCAGCAAAACCAAACCATTTTAAGACGGTAGACCTCATGTCACCATCGGTGCTGCAGCGCTAACTGCCCTTGGACGAAGAAATTCTGGCTCTCTTTGTCAAGGTGCTCCTTTTTTGTGCAGTACAGATGATCTTCTGTCCACCGTTTCAACTGTTGGCTGGACAATAGCCGAAGGTGTGGGGTGGGAACGAAACCACCGCAGCTGTAAACGTCACTGATGGACAGTACGGTATTCAGAAGGTCATCTGCTGCACCCCCACACCATAGGGTGGTTGAAGTCCTCCATAGACACACTCAAATGCCGACGAGCCTAGGTTGGAAGCTCTAATTCGTTTGTGCATACTTATCGTCATGATGAATGCTTTCTGAGTTGGTGGTTCAGCTACAAAAGTTCCGGATTGACCTAAACATCCCTTGAAATTACACCATATTATCAAATCTGGAATACCTCGATTGATTAATTCATTCCCTTGTTTTTTTTCCCGTAGATTCACATCGCAGCTGCTTGCGGTTTTGCGGAGGTGGCTCGCTACTTACTTCAGAATCACGTTGATCCACAGCAACCAGATCAAGATGGCTGGCTACCCATTCACATTGCCGTATCGTGGGGAAATGTGAGTACAATCCCTCCTTTTTCTCAATGTGTATCAAACAGTTTCATATTAGATAGTAGTTGGTTAACAAAGTAACACGTCCTTTCCACCTGTCACCAAAAATTGGATCATTTGGAGCCTTCACGAAGTGATTATGCAAGACATTTCGGGTTTCATCTACCATCTGGGTTGATTATAGTCCCAGTATTAACGCTAGTTGGCTTTTAGGCACATTCTTCCGGTTATGCTGCCAAGAGCGAAGTATAAAAATGCGGTATGAGTGAAGAGCTTTTGGAGATAAATGTATTGTTAAACAAGAGACTACGGTGTAGCTTCCTTTGTCTTTCGATTGTCGTCCCCAGAACCATCATACAGTGATGCCCCTCGTTCGGCTGAAAGAATTGATGCAAAAAAAGCCTCAAGAGACATCCCATTGACAATCTTTTCAAAGGCCATGTATGGAATTTTGTCTAGACGCGGGGTGGGCCGGATATTATTCAAATGGGACTTCAATATAGACGTCTATATTGCCTCCATGCCTGAGTAAGTTGAGGGTACGGCGTGCTCACGCAACCGCCGACTGACTGCTGACGATACGGGATGACCCCATCGACATTGACCTCATTGTGGATATCTCCCCACTATCGAGGGCACCATCTTCGCAATGTTTGTAGAACGCTCAAGAAGGGGAAACTTGTTGACACTTTGAGGACGTCAAAACAGATTCGCACTTACGTGACCGATGGCCGACTATTGGCCGTTCCGAGGTTTCCTAGTCGAATTCAAGCTTTCCACTCATCGTCAGCACCAGCTAACTCAAATTGGTCAGCAGCCTCGTACCTGCTGGTTCGTGATCACGATACTGTTGGCGACAGATTCAAAGGATTGACACTTTTGACCTGCCAGACTAAAGAAGCAGTATAATCTCCACACAACATTTAACTGATGCCTCAAAAGTTTCGCCGTAGGACGATTTTTTAGGATAGCTGTCTCAGTAGTCAGCTTCTTCAAATTGAATATGCTCAGGAATAACTGTTTTCACCCACACACCGCGAAAAGGTTCCGTCACGCATTTGGTGCTCTGGTATCACTCAAACATCCAGGACAGGCTTTCCATGCGCGTTGGCTAAGAAGTCTTTCACAAGAATGATTGTGGCAGCGTGACCACTACTGAAGCTACCACCTATGAACTGTTCACCTCATTCCAATATCCTGCCGCAGTCGACCCTCCCATCGTTGGGTTAATACCGAGGTGAATGGATCCATCGTAACTATTATTATGGTACCGGCACTGCTGTCTGCCACCATGATTGGCAATGTCTGGACTGAACTGACTCACGATTTGTGCTGTGGGCATTCTCACACTAAACACAGAGACCATTCCACCGATCCCTGTCGTCGTGAGGTAGCATTCCTTCTTGCCATTCGTCTTCAACAACCGTAGTGATTCCACTCCGGTGGCGTACCTGTGATGCGTTGGTTACTGTAGTTGTTGGCAAATGCCTTCAAAAGGCAAGTATCTCACAGCAAAGGTGGAAGGAGAGGAGAATTTCAAACCTAATTTGGCCCGTCATAAGACTATGTCAACAAGGCGAGTCGACTGATTTGATGAAAGTTGTCACTGTGGAATTTCCACCCTACTTGCATTATGGTGGTGGAGGTCATGGCTTCCTGTCATTCATTGGGTACTTGACGTCGAGGTGAAATATGTCAGAAAAGCAGATTTGCCTTAGCCATCACGACTGCTTAACAGGAGGGGGAGGGATAATGCCGCCTCTTGTGCAAGGATATGAAGTTCGCGCAAAGTTCCAGCAACTTCCATTCCCAAAGAAGGCATTTTGGAGGGCTGGAGTGGTCGATAAACAGTGAAAATTCATTTGGATTGTAGGTACTTCCTTAGTAAGTGTTTTGGAGGTGCTTTTAATAAGCGTTTGTTCTCTCAACGATAAACTGGTTTTAAGGGCATGTGCGGCACATTGTCACGCAAGGCTCTTCATTAAAGCTAAATTATTTTCAATTTCTTTGAAATAAAGAGTAGTAAAATTACGGCATCACCATTCAATTCTACATTTCCTTGTCAAGAGTACGACTACAACGTTG